TCAACAATTTGATTAAGATTACTATTTAATATATCTTTTATTTTACTAATGGATGCTGAATTAACGGCTGATTTCCATTTTACCATATCTTCATAAATATCACTACAATTTACAAAACAAAAAAATTAATTCTTTTAACTTTTCATTTTAAATTGTTACAGCAATAAATTCTGTTGTGTTATTGTTGTTTACCTTTTTGTAGAAGAAGAAAAATCTTTAAAATTATTTTGTATCAAAACTATACGATAAAGTAAATATCCAGCTGATGCGAATAGAAAAGCAAGTAAGGCAATAACCAAAACTAAAATTGTTGTAAATTTTTGTGAATTTTGTCCCGATTCATCAAATGTTTCATCCAATAAATTTTTTTTATCTGAATTAACAAGGTATTTTTGTAAATCTGTAATTAAAATAATAATTTTAATATTATTATTTGTTTTATCATAACAAAAATTAATTTTTTATAACATTACTGTCTGATGATGCACCAGGAGTTAAATTTGATATAAACGAAGAAGGTTCTTCTTCATTTCCACTTGAAACGGTTGAATCATCGTCGGAAGGTTCGGGTTTGCTTACTTGCTGTAATTATAATTTTACCTCTTTTTTTTTATACTTATTAAAAAAAAATTGCGAATTAATAAATAATAATTTTTTTTTTTTACATACCTTAGGAGTGATGTTCACAACAGAATTTGAATTGATTGCAGCTTTCCAAACTTGTACCATAAATTTATAAGTGGAATCTCTTGACAATAATGATCCGAAAACATGTTTTTCATCTTCTGTCGATATACCAACAGCATTCGGTATTATTTTGGCTGTTTTTTCTTTACTTATTTTTAAAACATCAGCAGCTGGAATCAATAACTGAAAAAAAACTTATTATCCTTCTTATAGTTTTAATCATGGGTAAAAATTTTATTTACCTTTGTAACATAGCCAAAGACATTTGAATAAAAAGCAAAAAAATTTTCAGTTATGTATAAATGACCTTGAAGAAGAATATCACCAACCAAAGCACAAGAATAATCTACAAATATTTAATTAAATTAGTTTTGTTTTTTTCAAAAAACGTTATTTTATTTATTTTAAAAAAGCACTCACTCAAAAGTAATTTAAAAAAAAAAAAAATTTAAATTAATTCGATTTTAATTGAAAAATTTTCATCACGTAGACCAAACTAAAATGTAATACCGAGAAATGAAATATTTTTTTTATTTATTATTAACTTAATTTTTTTTTTTTTTTCGATCGTTAAATTTCATTCGAATGTTTATTTTTCACAATTGCCGTCAAAAAAAAAAAAAAAAACTAAAATTTTTTTTCAAATTAGATAGAATAATCACTTAAAAATGTCTTATATAAACAAAAAAAAAAAAAAACTTACACTTTAAAACTTTTTCCTCGATATTAACTTGTTTAAAATGCCTATGAAATTTTTTTTGACGAGCTTTACTCGAATAAGATGAATGTACGACTTCAGCATTTTCTAAATTTTTTGTTGGAAAAGGGGCCCCAGCAGACTCGTCAGGGTCTGCGGGACCCCTCGATACAGAATATGCTTGAGTCATTAAAAAAAGTTTTTTTTTTACCCGATTAGGTTCATAGCTAAAAAACACAAATCAATTTATTAATGTTTTTTAATAAAACCCGTGTAGAATTTTTATTAATAATAATAATAATATTTGCTTACCAAATGCGTTTGTCAATATCTGATACCGAATCGCAAAGTTCATTATTATTATTATTATTATTATTAGGTAGAGAATTAAAACTCGTGGAATCGACGTTTAAAGTCGGTGTTAAAGTACCCGGACGAGATATTTCATTTGTAGATAATCTAAAATGCAAAAAAAAATTAAATAACTGATAAGAAAAAGATAAAACGTTTGTGTTTATATGCGATAACGTTTAGCGATAAATGAAAATGTCTGCAATTTTGAGTTTGGTCAAGAATTTTTCTTTTTTTTTTTGCCACGAGCAAAATTATTAATCGAAAAATTATTTGCTATTATTATTAATTATAATTACTTACCCTCTTATTGATAAACTACTCATGGCGAGTCTTTTGTATTTACTTTTATTATTTTTAATTAAATTAAATTCTTCATTTTTATTAAAATGCGACTCTTCGTTAGGTGAATATAATTGATGGAAAGTAGGAACACTCAAACGTCTATGTTTATGTTTAACTATATACTCATTATTTTTCATCATTAACCCCCCCTTTTTTTTTTTTTAATTAATTAAACAAAAATAAATAAATAAATAAAACTATATAAAAATGTAAATAATATTTCTTTTTATATGAAATCACATCGGATAACAAAATGATATACTAATTATTTATTATTTTTTTCCGTTTTAATTTATCAAAAAAAAAAAAAATTGCGTAATTTTTTTTAAAATTATTTAAACAACACAAATAACTAAAAATAAATAAAATAAAATAAAATTTATAATTTACACCACTGACTTATATTCATTTAAAAAAATATATACATATATATAAGTGTATATTCACAAAAAAAAAAAAAAAATTTTTATTAAATTAATTGAATAAAAAATTTGGCAACCGACATTGTTACAAAAAAAGCAATAATCTGATTAAATGATTTGATAGCATATCAGGTTTATCACACACACACAACAGGTTCATTCAATAATTTTAATGATAAGATGACAAATGGACATTATTAATGGGATAAAAATCAAAAAAAAAAAAAAAAATTTTCATTTTTATATATTTCTCACCTGATTAATAATAACAATAAATGAATCCAAATTCTTATTTTTATAATGAATTTTTCTTATTTGTCCAAATCATATTTGTTATTATTAATACTGAAAAAAATAAAAATAAAAAGAAACTTATTATTACTAAAAAACTAAATTAAAAAAAAAATTTTTATTTTTCGTCACAATTTAAATAATTTTTCTTTTTTTTACAATGTCGTTGATACTTTGAACTTTAAACTTTAATACAAAATTAAAAGTTTTAATAACACCTTATTTTTAAATTTTTGAAAATAATTTATTAAAAATATTATTATGATAATTATTATTATTCACTGTAATTATGAAAATTTTTTAATTACAGAATGATTATTAAATTTTTTTTTTATGGTAAATATTTAAAAAAATAACTTTATTTAATTAAAAAAAGAAAAAGTTTTATTTGGTTTTGTTCATTACTTGAATGTTCATAACAGTTGAAAAAAATTAATAATTTTTTATTTAAGAGTTAGTTTTTCTTTGTGAAGCTTTTTTTGGATTTTTTTTTTTGATAACGATAATACAGCCTTGACATTTAAATTTATTTAAATATTTTCAAAGCAGAGATTATATTTTTTAAACAAATTTGCATTTATTTATTTGCATTTACTAAATCTGTATATTTGAAACTATAAAAATTTATGTAAAAAAATTATTTTTTGCAAAACAATATAATAAAACTGAGATATTATTAATTATAATCATTTGTAGAAATCATTTATTGTTTAAAAACAAAATGTTGTAGAAAAAAAATAAGCTTTTTTATTTTATTTTAAAAATTTCCTTTTATCAAAAAAACAAAATCATATAAAAGTATTCAAAAGATTTATTATAACATATTTGGAGCTTATTCGGTGATCAGGCATGCCAACATAATTTATGTATATAAGTAAAAATGAAATTTCGAATCGGTACTTCTCATTAAATACAAAGAAATATATATATGTAAATAATTTTAAAAACCGTTAAAAAAATTTCTCATTGATTATAAGATGTTTTTTTTTTCAAATAAAATGTAAACCCATTAATTAAAAT